TTGATTATGTAAAGTTCATGACACACAGTTGGTATAAAATAATGCTCATGACACATTGAATAAGTGTATATGTACATTATATATTTGTATTGTATCAAATAAATACATCTAGAAGAAAACACCAAAATACTATGTTCATTTTGATTTTCTCTTCCAATTTAGCTGTATTTTTAAGATTTTTATACTGAGTGCATATTGTATGCACAATTTCTGAAATTGCTCTCATGATAGAATATTATAATGTTATAACGTTGTGCTATGGACCCCGGATCATGAAATTTAAGAGGAGGGCACAACTTTGGAAGTCAATGTTAGTTTAAACTAGAATCTAATGTGCTTGAATTTATTTGGAGCTTTAATAAATTTCAAGCGATTGGCAAAAATCACCATCAATAAAGCCCTACGATGTAGTCATTCCTCAAACATTAACTTGATAAATATGATAACTTTACTTCATTAGACAGGAAATGTGTGAAAAAAGATGACAGCATTAGAGTTAGGGAGTTTATGTATGTGACTTACTGTAACTTCTAGCCACCTGACATAATTATACTGGGCAAAGAGTATCTACAACCAGAAAACTCAAGTTTTCAGCTACAAAAAATTCAGTGTCTCTTTCCAAGTAGAAGTTTAAACTCTTTTATATTCTGACAGAGAGTATTTCCAGCTGAAATAGACCATGAATTAAGCAAAAAAATAACGTGGAACATCAAACATCATGTATCCTCAGTATACAAAAAGATATGTTTTTCATCCATAGACAGTATGCACCAATTTGTGTGTTATGATTTAGTTTATTTGATAAATGTTTTTCATTGTCTACTATGTGCAAGGCACTGTGTTAAGCTCTGCAGAGCATATAAAAATTATAAAATGCACCCTGATCTCAAGAAAGTAACAGTCATATAGATGAAATGACATAATCATTGATGGTCATAAAGCAAGATAAGTATAATAGTAAGGTAAGTATAGTAACAATAAGAAAAATGCAAATAAACTAGTCTAATTGGATAATGAACAGAACTCTTTCAGTCTCAGATTTTTAGAAGAAACTGAGAACAATACAATATGCTATGCTTTTACTCTAAAACTCATGTTGAAATTTAATTGCCATTTAACAATATTAGGAAGTGAAAATATTAAGGGGTGATTAGGGCATGAGGACTGCATCCTCATAGGTGAAATTGGTGCCATTATAGAAGGTCAAGTTTGTCCTCCCTCTCTTGCTCTTTTTAAAATTTATTTATTTATTTATTTATTTATTTATTTATTGAGACAGAGTTTTGCTATTGTTGCCCAGGCTGGAGTGCAATGGCACTATCCTGGCTCACTGCAATCTACACTTCCCAGGTTCAAGCGATTCTCCTGCCTCAGCCTCCCAAGTAGTTGGGATTACAGCCTTTAGTAGAGACAGCGTTTCTCCATGTTGGCCAGGCTGGTCTCAAACTCCTGACCTCAGGTGATCCACCTGCCTTGGTCTCCCAAAGTGTTGGAATTATAGGCATGAGCCACCGCGCCTGGGCCTCTCTTGCTCTTTCATGTTCTATCACTGGAGGACACAGCAAAAAGGCCCTTGCAAGATACCAGCACCCTGATTTGGGATTTCCCAAATCACATTTCCAGAAACGTTAGAAAAAATTATCTTTATTATACGTTAGCCAGACTGAAGTATTGTGTTAATAGCGGCACAAAATGAAACAAGACAGAAAACTAATACCAGGAATGAGGTATGGTTATAACAAATAACTGAAAATGTGGGAGCAGCTTTGGAACTGGGTAATGGATAGAGGTTGCAACAATTTTGAAGTGAATGCTGGAAAAAGTCTTCATTTCCATGAATGGAGCATTAAGGGTGACAGTGGTAAAGACTTGAAAGAAGAGAAGAGCTGTAGTGGAAGTCTGAAACTTCTCAGAGATTACTTAAATGGTTTTGATCAGAATGTTAGAAATATTGGCAGCAAAGGCCATTCTGATGAGGTCTCAGATGGAAAGGGGAAACAAGATATTGGAAAATGGAATCAAGCCCATCTTTGTTAGAAAGCAGCAAATCACTTGGCTGAATTGTGTCCAAGCTGAAGGCTTTATGGAAGACAGAATTTAAGAGCAATGAACTAGGGTGTCTGGTGGAAGAAGTATCTGAGAAGCAAGGCATCAGGTGCTGTTTGTCTTCTTTTAACTGCATTTAGTAAGACAAGTGAAGAGGAAGGTGATATAAAGATGAGGTTTATAATTAAAAGGCAACAAAAGTTTAGAAATTTGAAGGATTCTCACATTGGCCACATGGTAAAGAGTGAAAGAATATTTTCTGGAGAGAAAATAAAGGGTGCAGCTGAAGGACCATTTGATAAGGAGATTAGTATGGATAGAACAAAGCCAGAGGCTATTCACCAGGGCAATCAGGAAAAAATCCCAAAGGGACTTTAGGGATTATCAGTACTGCCCCTCCCATCACAGGCCTACAGTGACAGCCTTCGGGAAAAAAATATGTTAACAGATAGGTTTAGAGCACCCTTGGGACATTGGGGCTTATGACCCAGGGCCACTTCAAGTCTCTGCTCCCCACACCTTGGTTGCCCCAGCCTTGGTTCAACTGGGCATAGGTGTGGCTCATCCCACCATTCTGGAAGGTACAAGCCATAAACCTTCGTCAAGGTATAGTTGATTCGGCAGGACACAGAATACAAGAGCTGTGAAGGTGTGATTTCCCCTACTTAGATTTCAAAGGATATTATCAATAGCCTGGGAACCTAGGCAGAGACGTGTTGCAGGTTAAAGCCACTGCAGAGAGTCCACACTAGACATAGTGGAACTATAAGGGTGGGACTACCCCCAAGATCTCAGAACTGTTGAGCTACCAATGTACAATGCCAGCCTAGGAGAGCTGCAGGCTCAAGACTCCAATCTATGACAGCTACTGTGTAGGCTGAGCCCAACAAAACCATGTGGGCAGGGATGCTGGAGGCCTTCAGGGCCTAATCTCCACTCCAGTGTGTCCAGAAGGTGGGACATCGAGTCAGAGAATATTATTGTGAAGCCTTAACATTTGATATTGTCCAACCTCTTGGATTTGAGACTTACTTGAGAAAGATTACTCCCTTACTTTTCCTTCCTGCTTCTCAATTTTTGGAATAGGAATGTCTATCTATGTCTATGCCTGAACCGCCATTGTATTTTGGAAGGACTTTACTAAATTTCATAGGCTTACATCTGGAGGGAAAGTTGTTGTTGGAATGAGTTAAAAATTTTGAGGCCATTTGGATGGAATTAAGGTATTTTGTATGTGAGTTGGACATGAGTTTTGGGTACAGGGGAAAAATGTGATAGAATGTTTATTTCCTCCAAAACTGATGTTAAAATGTAATTGCCATTTTATCAGTAATGAGAGGTAAAATCTTTTAAAATCTTTTTTTTTTTTTTTAAGACAAAGTCTCACTCTCTCACCCAGGCTCACTGTAAAGAGGTGGAATATTTAAGAGATGATGAGATAATTAGGCCATGAAGGTTCTATCATCATGGGTGGGATTGATGCTATTATAAATAAGTGAGTTCGATCTCAATCTCCATCTTCCATCATGGGATGACATAGGAAGAAGTTCCTTGCCAGATGCCAGCACCTTGACCTTGGACATTCCAGTTTCCAGAACTATAAAAAAAAAAATTTCTTTTTGTTACACATTACCCAGTCTCAGGTATTCTGTTATAGCAGCACAAAACGTACTAAGACACAACAGGTAATAAGAACCCTGCCATTCAGAGCAGGGCAGTAGACCACTTTGTGAAAGCATGCCACAGAATTATAAAACCTATTATGCCATTATTAGTCCATCATGTTTCTATATACAAAATAATACCCACTTTATTGAATGGAGTTTTCAGCAAGAAGACAAGTTGTATAGCTGAGATTATTGAGAAAATGAAGGAAATTGATTACTTTTTCAATTAATAAGTATGTAACTGACAAATGATGACTGTCAAGTAGGCCTAATAGGTCACCTCTACAACACTCCTAGGTCTTGGGTGAATAGGAGTAAGGATCTTGATGTATAAACAATTTGTCTACAAAAAACACAATTTCTCATTTTGACTATGAAATATTTTTTCAGTTACAAAAACTGAGGGACTGCTGATGGTTTAAGAAACACTGCTTCATTTAGTAGATATAAATGTTACACCTATATAAGTTAAGTAACTAATTTCCAAAGAGTTCAGGCTACATGAGGCATGATAGCATGGACAATGTGTATGTTCTTTTCAAGATTCAGAATGATTCTTTGACATGTAGAGTTAGATATCTTTTCCAAACATTCCAGAAAAACAAGACTTGTTCTTATCTATTAAAACTATTTTGTAGTATCAAACAATTACAGGAACTTAAGGAGAACTTATTTATTTTTAATGTAAAGGGGTAAAATACTGTCATTGTGCATTTCAAATCAGGGCAAAGAAAGCTGAATTATGAATAAATAGTTTTGGGAGAACTGGCTTACCATTTGGATAGAATAAATACAGTAGTATCTTTACCTCATTCTAGATGCCATCCGAATTGTTCAGGTGGGTAAAATATTTAAATATAAAAATAGTCTTTACAATAATGTAAGAAAGCTTATTAGTTTCTAAGTTTTTGAAAATATTCCAAAAGTGAAGAAGGCCTGCAATAAACTCAGACAACATAAAACATCATTCTAAAAATATAAGCATTTAAAAGAGTCCTTATGGACACAAATAAGCATGCAAATACATAGAAAAAAATGCCCTACATCCTTCATATGTTATACAGCTTCTAAGGTGACTACTAATGGTCTTCATCCTTGTATATTCTCCTTCCCTTAAGTGTGGGCTGGACCTAGTTACTAGTTTCTAACAAATAGAAAATGTCAAAAATGATGGATCTTACTTCCATTATTTGGTTACAAAAAGACTATGGCTTATTCTTTTTTCTTCTCTCTCTCTCTCTCTCTCTCTCTCTCTCTCTATTGTCTCTGTCTCTCCCTGCCCCTCAGATCACCAGCATCCATGTCACGAGGACCCTTGAGCATCCTGAGGCCAGCATCCATGTCATGAGGACCTTTGAGCATCCCGTGGGGAGTGGTTCATGTGGCAAAGAGCCAAGGCCTACCAGCAACAACATAGTGAGCTTGGAAGCAGCCGCTCCTCTATTTGAGCCTTAGATGACTGCAGGTCCTCGATTATACCCTATGCGAAAGGCCCCCAGCAAACCTGCAGCTGTTTTGTTCCACCTGTTTCCATGTAAACTGGGAGATGATAAATGTTTGTTGTTTTAAGTTACTGAGGTTTAGGATAATTTGTTACATAGCAATAGATAATTCACAAACTTCATAATTCTTAAAATATTAATTAAAGCTATTGGAAATAATTATTCACATATCATATTGACAAAGATTGAAGTTTAATGATGCCCTATCTTGATAATGTGTAGGAAAAAGAAAGATGCGTGCTACTGCTTACAGTGTGTAAATTGGTTCATTTTTAAAGGAAAGGTAATTCATCAATGTGTACCAAAATTTTAAATGTTCATCCTCATTTACCCAGCAATTTATCTCTAGGAGTACCTGTGCACAAAATGCATGACCAGTAATTAAGGACAGATTATATTAATTATGGTTCACACATGAAATGGAAAACCTTGTGGCTTTTATGAAAAATAGGGTATATCTAAATGTGCCGATATGTAAAGTTGCCAAAGAAATAATGCTGTTACTTTTGCATTATTTTTCATTTGATTTGGCTCAATTTTCTCAAGACTCTCCACCCAATATTGACAGAATTTTCAGAAATGTGTATTCTATATTTAAGCAGAATTGTTTGGACATTAAGATGTTGACTCTGGGGCCAGTTGCTAGGTTCGATCTCTTCTCTGCCATTCTTTGTGTGAGCTTGGATAGGTTACTCTGTGACTGCAACTTACTCTATAAGTTAGGTAATAATTGCCTTATAGGCATTTTTGGAAAATGCATGAGTTAATATAATTTAAGGATTATAACAGTTCTTGGAATACAGTATGGACTACATAGTGTTGATTCTTTTCTAAATTGTTAATTGTATTTGTATATGGCAATTTTCTCTAGATCAGAGTTTTCCTAAATAATAATTTGGACAGATTTTGCGGATGCTTGAGCAGGCAGTTTCAAGAATGTGGTCTTTGAGTAGTTTCATCAGATTTGCCCTTGGTGCATGTCTCTTCAAAATTTTCAAATTTTTCTGCCTGCTTGTTCAAAATTTTCTACCTTCTTGGTCAGCAGACCTTGGTGGTGGCTCAAGTTAAGCCCTTCTTTAGAAAATTTATTTGCATTACTTCAGATATTAAAATAACTATTTTATATTTTCACTGATACTGCCAGAATATGCTATGTATTCTGTTTTGAAAAAGACAAACCAAATGACCTCCCTCTGAGTCCACCAACAGCTCAATTTTATTTCCAGATGAAGTCACCATTACCAAAATGCTAGCATCCAGGCACCAGTCTCAGTCCAGAATTCAATGCCAAAATGCTGATTGAAATTCACAGTATTCATGATAGAATGGACTGGGTACAGAGTTCACTGGGAACATAGCTGATGGACCAAGTCCTTCTGTATATAGGAATGTGACATTCTTTACAGAATATATGGCATTTAAGATGACATATTAAGGAAATGTTGGGTGGATACAGAGAATTTGGAAAGAAAGAGTGGACCTAAATCAAGCTAAAATATTTAGAATGCATCTTTCATCTAAAAGAGGACACTGCCATTAGTTACACAATTTGTTCAATGATAATTGTGAGAAAGGTATAGAAGAGGCTTAACAGTGGATAGATATTGGTGGCATAAAGACAGACAAAGCAGGAGAAAGGCATAAGCTAAGGCAGCAGCAGAGAACAGGGCTTGGTTTTAAAGAGTCATCTACTGCTAAATAGGAGGACTAATAAATCAGATTAAGGTTGTGCATATAGATATATTTGATGTGGAGAATTTTTCTATAAATCTTTAATAAAGTATTTTTAAAATTTGTATTAAATATCTAAGAAAACATCCATCAATGATGGTACTTTCTACTTAGACTTTTTACTGTGCAAGAAAAGTTTATGAATGACAAAATACAGGTTCATCTCCATTATCTAGTCCTGAATAATATGGAAATAAATGTTCTAGCCTATTTTTTTTTAAATAACAGATAATGCTGGCACCTGTTGTAATATTAGTGTGGGGGCGTCTATATTAGTAGCACAATTTATATCAGCCCAAATGGTAAAAGTATTAAACTTACTATTATTTAGTATTTTAACTTTTATTTTAGGTTCAGGGTACATGTGCATTATTATATAGTTAAATTCATGATTTGGGGTTTGATGTACAGATTATTTTATCACCAAGGTACTAAGCATAGTAGCTGAAAGTCTTTTTCTTTTTCTGAATCTCTCCATCCTCCCACTCTTCTCCCTCAGGTAGGCCCCAGTATCTGTCATTCCCCTTTTTCTGTCCATGTATTCTCATTATTTAGTTGCTACTTATAATCGAGAACATGTGGTGTTTGATTTTTCTGTTCTTGCCTGAGTTTGCTAAGGATAATGGCCATCAGTTATGTGACATTAAAAGTTGAGTGTTTCTAATATATCTTTTTCCTTTAAACAAGTTCTGCCTTGTTATGCTCTTTTAATAACATGATCCTCTGTAGTACCAGAAATTGTTGGATCTTCCAGGAAGAGATTTAAAGCAGAGTCATGCATAGCATAATGTTTCATTCATCAGTGAATTGCAGATACGATGGGGATCCTGTAAAGTTATGACATATTTTTACTGTACCTTTTCTACGTTTGGATATGTTTAGATACACACATAATTCTCATTGTGTCACAGTTCCCTACACTATTTAGTACAATAATATACTGCACAGGTTTGTAGCCTGGGGTAATAGGCGACACCATATATCCTAGGCATGTAGCAGGATATACCATCTAGGTTTGTGTAAGTACACTCTATGATGTTTACACAACAGCAAAATTGCCTAATGACACATTTCTCAGAACATATTCCTATCATTAAGTGACACTGACTGTCTTGAAATGTCCTTAAAATAGCAACATAGATAAATAAAATGATATATTTTAAAGTAGATGGCAAAGTATAAATGTAAAGGTTTCTATCAACAATACTATTAACTTAGTAATCATAACTTACTTTTCAGTAAAATGATATTTAAAATATTGTTATTTATATCAAGCATTTCTTTATTTATATCAAGCATTATTTTTTCTAGAGATTTCTACCTTAAGTATCTAAGCCATTATAACATTTTGAACTATAATATTCAATTATTTCTAAAGTATGTTAAGTGAAAAAACCTCAACAGTTTAAATGAACCAAAATATTAAAAAATTTCGGTTTGGAGACATTTTCTGAAAATAAGTTATTTTAAAAGATATATGTTATATATAGTAAATTATCAATGTCTATATGCATATCTATCTATATGTATTTGCTATGTTGATGTTTTTCTTCTCGCCTGAATGTGTGTTTTAATAATCTTCATTAGATATGACTATGAAAGAAAGTTTTCTCAAATTCTGTAAATTGTATTTCAGGACATTGTCAGGAACTATGAAAGCTCTCAGATTTTGCACTACTTGTTAGGTATTAGGTTGGTGCAAAAGTAATTGTAGTTTTTCATAAAAGTAATGGCAAAAATCGCAATTATGTTTGCACCGACCTAATAACAAGTAGTACTCATGGATGCTACCAGTTTCATAAGTATTGAAAACAGACACAAACCACCTGGGTCAGAGATAAAAGGCATTATTCCTCATTGAAAAACAAGTCCATGAGCAGGGTATTTGTGTAATACCTCTTTACCCACAGGTCGCATAGGGGTGAAGTGAAGAAGCTCAAACAAGTGCTTGTACACGCAGTAGCTTCAGTGCAGGAGAGAAACTCTAAGCTTAGGGAGCACACATTATTTTTAATGGGCGGTAAGCCTGAGGCCCTTTGCTTTGGTTGAAGACATTATTCTACTGTACAGTGAGAATTCCCTTTTTTTGACATAGAGGGAGACACTATCTCTATCAATGAAGGTTGCTTGCTATACCAAAATTATTGAAAAGATAGTGTATAATAAGGGCAGTTAATTACTTATTTGCAAGACTGCAGAAACATGACAGACCCATGGTAAATTATGTCCCAATAAGCATAACTAAAGGAAAAGTACAGTATAACATTCACAGACTCACAAATAGCATTCTAGTAGTGTAACATTGAATCCTCAGGATGACAGAAATTACTAGTAAAATAGAATTTGATTCAGACTAATATTACAAATGGTTTTTTGAAAATATCAATGAGATAGATACACCACTAGCCAAACTAATAAAGAGGAAAAGAGAGAAAAATCAAATAGATGCAATAAAAAATGATAAAATGGATATCACCACCAATCCCACAGAAATACAATCTACCATCAGAGAATACTATAAACACCTCTATGCAAATAAATGAGAAAATCTAGAAGAAATGGATAAATTCCTGGACACATACATCCTTCGAAGACTAAACTAGGAAGAAGTCAAATCACTGAGTATACCAATAACAAGTTCTGAAATTGAGGCAGCAATTAATTAATAGCCTACCAAACAAAAAAGGTTTAGAACCAGACGGATTCACAGCCAAATTCTACAAGAGGTACAAAGAGGAGCCGATGCCATTCTTTCTGAAAACGATTTCAAACAATATAAAAAGAGGGAATCCTCCCTAACTCATTTTATGAGGCTAGCATCATCCTGATACCAAAACTTGACAGACACAACAAAAAACGAAAATCTCAGGCCAATATCCCAGGTGAACATTGATGCAAAAAATCCTCAGTAAAATACTGGCAAACTGAATCCATCCCTGGGATGCAAGGCTGGTTCAACATACGCAAATTAATAAACATAATCCATCACATAAACAGAACGAACGACAAAAACCACATGATTATCTCAATAGATGCAGAAAAGGCCTTTGAAAAGTCCAACAGCCCTTCATGTTAAAAACTCTCAATAAACTAGGCATTGATGGAATTTATCTCAAAATATTAAGAGCTATTTATGATGAACCCACAGCCAATATCATACTGAATGGGCAGAAACTGGAAGCATTCCCTTTGAAAACTGGCACAAGACAAGGATGCCCTCTCTTATCATTCCTTTTCAACATAGTATTGAAAGTTCTGGTCAGGGCAATCAGACAAGGGAAAGAAATAAAGGGTATTCAATTAGGAAACGAGGAAGTCAAATTGTCTCCATTTGCAGATG